TTGCTGAGCTGCCAAAACAGTTGCAAAGGAGCAGGTAGAAAGTGGGTAAGTCATGGCCAGGCAGCTGCCGGGGTGTGCTGTGAGCAACGGCTGGGAATGACAATAGAGAGATGGAGAAGAGTTATTCATGTTTCCCCGAGAGCTGAGATCAGTTGAAACATCATTTTCCTTGGGGAGGGAGAGGAAAGAGCTCCCTTCAAACACATTGTCCCATGAGACTCATTAAAGGCTCATCAATTACAGTGAGAGCAAACAATTCAGGGGAAAGCTATCATAAGCCTTCCTTTGGATGGCAGTCATTAGCAGCGCTCTGCTGTGCTGCCTCTCTCCAATGCCAGCTCGGGCAAGCAGAAAGGGAGTAGGGGCTACCACTGCCAAGCTGATGATGGGGGGAAGCCAGAGCCCGGTGGCCCGGGAGCCAACAGGAGGGGACCAGGTCTCCACAGCATCCCTGGGGTCACGCAGTGGCATCCTCATGGAGAGCATGGGGTGGAGAGCATGGGGTGGAAGGGAGGTGGTGGCCCACCGTAGTGGACTTCTGTTGCCCCATATCCTCACCCAGGACTTTTTAAGGAGCTCAGGGCAGGAGAAAATTGGGCCACGGTGGGAGCTGAGCGAGAGGTGCATGGGGACAGAGCAGCTCTTTGGGTCTCCACCCAGTGAGGGGTTTCTCCAGCCCTGCCCCGCACAGCAGCGGGGTCATGGCATCAGGCCTGAGCGGGGGCTGCCACCACCCCATGGCTGCCTCAGCCCCACAGGGAGGGATTGGGATGAAAAGATGCTCTTTGCCTTTCTCTGCCCTCCTGCCCTGCACTGCAAAGTGGGAGTATGGGCGGAAAAAGCGGTTGTAAAACACATAAGAATCCTTGGAAGGAAAGCAAAGGGCTGGGGTAGCTTTTAAAAATTATTTCAAAAGTAGTTATTAATGAAAGCTCAGGGACAGGGGCTGCTTTCCCACTCCCAGCACAGCTCCTGCAGGTTTGAGGCACTTACCCCCGCCTTCACCCCCTGTGCACGGGCATCTCTGTCCCTTGCACGTGGGCTTGGCCCCAGACGCCTCTCCAACCACTCACTGCTGTGACCTCCAGGATGCTGACCTGGAGAAATGCAGGGACTGCAAACTGTTCTTTATGACTGTGGGGAAAAAAAAAAAAGAAAAAAAAGAGGACACTTTCCTGTAAACTTTCCTTGGCGCTCCAAGCTCTGTGATGTTCCCTGGTGGAGGCATTGGCAGCATCAGAGCACACTGCACCACTCTGAGGGAAGGCAGCAGCTGAATGACCTGCACTAAAATAAACTCATAAATGCCCCATCATGCAAACTGTAATGTCTTGGGCCACACATTGCTCCAGCCACTTTTGCTGGGAACAGTATAAACCAGTTTCTATTTAATGCAAAATGCAGTTGTGTGCACCTAGTACCAGCCTGGCACAGGACTTGGGTGTCCCTGGGCCACGGAGGGTGCCTGTGGCTGTTGTAGCTCACGCTGGGGCTGCTCTCCCCCGGGCTGTGCCCCACCACAGCTGCATCCTATGTGTGCTCTGAACGCTCACCGAGAAACAGCACTGTCACCGCTAGCCTCGACCCATGAGCTGGAGGAGAAACGCTCCCAGCCCTTCAGATCTGGTGCCAAAGAGACCACTCTGCAACCAGCGCCTTGCTGGAGCAGCCCCGGGACGGGAGCGGGGCCATCGCTGCCTTCTGCAGGACACGGCACAGGGGTCTGCCCCACTGCTGCTGTTTAAGCCTCATTGCTAAGTAGCTCCTAACCTTTCCCTTCATCCTCTCTTCCCTGCGATGGCTGGCCGCCCGAGGAAGATGAGTGGAGGCAAGCAGGACTAGCGGCTCCCACCCAGGGGACAGGGCTAATGCCATTTACTCCAGTCTCCACCAGCTGGATCTTGGCTGGGGAAAGACGTTGTGCACAAATCATTTGTGAGATCACATCCTTGGGCTGCAGGCTCAGAAGAAGACGCCTGAAGAAGGGGTTAAAGCCAAGCCCAAGCAGCAGGGAGGCCCGGATACAGAAACCTTCACACACAAAATGGGGTTGGCAGTCAGGGCTGGCTGAAGGCACTCAGCTGTTTGCTATTAAATAATGCAGCCTGATTGATTGGGCTGAAAAGTGCTGTGTTGCGGGGTCAGCTTGCTGGGGTTACAGTTCTCTGCTTAGATTGATGATCCTCAAAGGTCAAATTCAGAAAGCAATTCCCCGGTAAAATTGATCCTTTGGATAACAAAACTTTTGCACAGTGGCGAAGGACCAAGCAGTGAGAAATATAAGTGACTCGGGTGCAGGCAGGCAGGGTGATCAGCTACCTCTGCTTTCTCTTTATTTAATTCCCCTTGTTTAAAGCAGTTAGGGAGTGAGGGTCTTCTCTGGGAAGATGGGCAGTGCCCCATCACCCCTACACGCAGTGGCTGGGGGATGTCCATGAGCACCCACCCTGTCCCCATCCCGCGGGCAGGGGGGCGCAGGTGCCTTTGCAGGGGTGGGGGGCAGCTGGGGGCTGTCCTGGGAGCTGGTGCTCAGCTCCTGGCTCTCCTCAGCAGCGAGTGGGGGGGTGTGTGTATGAGCAGGCATGTCTGACTGCCTCCTGCACGCATCTGTGCCTCCATCTCCCAGTAGCACAGACTGGGTCCTGCTGTGTGGTGGAACTTCTGTAGCTGGAGCCAAATTAATGGTGAGGAGGTTTCACCTTCCTGCACAGCAGCAGCTTGAAGCCAGCAGAAGCACCCTGAAATGGCTGCTTGGCCCTCAGCAGGGGATGCCAGGAGCAAGGATGTGTTACAGGCAGCAGAGGGGTGATCAAGGTTGCCGCAGGCCACCATGGGGGACCAGGTAGTGGTCGCCCAGGGCTGATGTCCCCACTGCAAGACTAGCAGGGTCAAGAACAGGAGCCAAGTGCTACATCCACATCATTGCAGACTTCAGAGGAAATAAGAGGGATACCAAGCCCTGCCTTCCTTGTACCCCCTCCCCTGGGGCTCTTAAACTCCCCCTCAGCTGCTTTTTAAGGTTGTTGGCTCCCATCATCTTGCTCCCACCAGAGGGAGGAGGGAGGAGAGCTGCAGCTCTCAGAAGCTGTTGCTCTGATTCAGGCTGGGCCCAGAGCGGCAGCAGTGAGGCTTTGACCTGCTTTAACCCGCTATCTTGCCTTGTTTCCTCCCGTCTGCTCATTTTGAAGTGAGAGAAGGAGGCCGTGATGTGTGGACGCTGAATAATTCAGTCTGGCTCCGCAGCACCCCGGGGCTGAGCATCGCCTCTGCTAAAGGGCTGGGACGGCTCAGACGAATTCCTTGCTCATCAGAGGCAGAGGGGACACAGAGCAGTTGAAGCACAGCATCCCTCCTGTGTAGGTACCAGCCAAAGCCACTTCCTTCCCCCAGACACTCAAATTCATGGCTTGCTCCTGGAGCACTGGTGCTCAGAGCCTGTTAGTGCTTTCAGGCGTGACAGGGCATCTCCAGCTCTCACTAACACACAGCTTCAGCTGGAGCATGCTGAGTGTGTCTGCCTCTGCTCCATGGACCACGTTTTCTTCCTTCCTCCCTTTTAATATTCCCTCCTCTGCATGGCCAGAGACAGGGCAGAGTTTTAAGACACAGAGAGAGACTGTTCATCCAGCTTATGCTTAGCTTCTGAGCGGGGTTTGCTAGAATTAAGGACAGAGAGGGGAGGGGGAGAAAAAAAAAGCATACATGAGGTCAGCTTATCCAGCCATGCGTGAGGAGGAGCACAGCAAAGGCGGCCTCCTCAGGTCAGGCAGGCAGCTGGGAGCATCTTGGGGGGCTCCAAGGGAGAGGGGGAGAGGCACCAGCAGCTGGCAGCCAGGAGGGACCCAGCTCATGGTGCCCAGCCTAATCCAGGTTGTTTATCCCAGTGCAGACAGAGCACATGAAGAAGCAGGCTGTGTTTCCTCTATCTTCTCTGCAAGCAGTTCATTCCCCTCGGTTCTGCATCTCTTGTAATTAGCCCTGTAACACAGAGCGCTACCCAGTCAGACTTCTCTACCCGTTCACATAAGGCACAGTATTACCATTTTCTAATGGTTCAGCTTCCGAGAGTGTAAATTATTGCACAAAGCAGTGAGAAAAAACAGTGGGCTGTGCTAGGGATCCACTGTCTGGAATTAAATCAGAGGTTTTGGTCCCTGAAGTCTCTGTCTGATGGCCTGAGCTCGGGCCCGGGAGTCACCAGAGCCACGTGTGAGTTACGGGCTCAGCCTCTGTGCTCTGCGCAAGTTACCTCCGGAGTCTGAGCAACAGGAATTATTGTGCACAGAGATAATTATTCCCTGCGTACTGCACTACAGCTCATTAAAAGTTTGTTAATGTTTGCAAATTGCTGAATAGTGTTTTTCGTTGTTGCCTTCTCTGATGAGGCAGGGACTAAAAGGCAGATTCTGATGGTGACTTGTTCTCTGTGTTATTTTGGTCACAGCAGGCTGGGGCTGTGCTGCACATAGGGAAAAAGGTTTGTGTTGTGCAACTTCACACCACGGGAGAAAACGCTTTTGACTTCAGTACAGCGTGCAGGGGTCATGGGGCTGGGTCCCACCAGCGTTAGCCATGCTCCATTTAAACCCCCAGGCTGTCCTCTCTGCCTTCAAGTAAAAGCCTCCATCTGAGCTGATCACACGAATTTCTGTAACAGCCTGAAGTCTGTGTGACTCCTTCCTGGAGTCTCAGCTGGAAATGTTGACTTACCATTAAATGGTCTGTTCTTCTGCGGTCGGGTAGTGGGAGTCAGGTATCTCTCACCTTGGAATGGAGACTGCAGATCCACCTTGGGCGAGGAAGGAGACATCATAACCCCACCACCAGATACCCAGGGAAAACAGCTGAGTTCAGTGAAAAAGTCCCGCAGAAGGACCGGGAAAGGGGGTAACCAGCCCAGCTTCACCACTACATTTTCCTGCACACGGATGGCACTACACCAGGGGCAGGGAGGAGCAGCAGTAGTACCTGACAGCTCTTCTCCTGTCTCCCTCCTCCAGGTGTAAATGCAACCTCCATGCCAACCTGTGCACCTTCAAAGAGGGCAGCCTTCAGTGCGAGTGCGAGCACAACACCACGGGGCAGGACTGCGGCAAGTGCAAGAAGAATTTTCGCTCCAGGTCTTGGCGAGCAGGATCCTACCTGCCTCTCCCCAACGGGTCCCCCAATGCATGTAAGTAACCTGCAGCGAGCCGGCCCTGGCTGCACTCCCACCTCGGGCTGCACAGCGCCCACAGATGGGAGCAGGTTTTCATCTTGTCCTTCTCCATCTTGAATCAGTGCAGGATACTCAACTTTTGAAAGAGAAGTGGGTATTTATCTGTGTCTTTGGTACACAGAGAAATGAGAGAGGATCTGCGTAGATGCAGAGGTGATTTGTTGGTTCCTGGTAGTTGAGTGATGAGTTGAGATGGTTGAGAACAGAGAGGATGACGTTGGGCCAAGATGTAGGTCCATGGCTTTGTGGCAGTGCAAATGACTTTCCTTTGAAGACATTATTTAGCCACAGTAGAGCACTGGCTGTCAAGTAGGGCTCAGCGCTGGCGCTGCTCTGCTGCGGGAGGGCAGGTTGCTTTCTGGATTGCTTTCTGGGTCCCGTTCTGTGTACGTCGGTATTTCAGGCAGGCGCCGCGAGCTGCAGTCCCTCTGCGCAGCTCCAGTCTCATCCAATTGCCTGCTGGAGCAAGGCACTGACAGAAGCAAAGGCGCGCAGACGAGATGAAGGATGCATACCCACCATCGTTCGAGCAGGGGAATTGGGGCAGGAAACATCACAGATGGGCCAGTTTCTCCTGGGTTTCTGTCCAGTCCACATTAGCAGATTTGTTTAAATGTCACGGAGACACAGTAGCCACTCCAGCCTTTCAAGCAGCAGCTTTGAGCATTACCAAAGAGAATCTTTTCCTTCCCTCCCCCCAAATTTTTTGAAAGATTTATGTGCTTTAAGATGATCAAAGCTGAAATTCAGGCTCCGAAGGCCGTGACGGGAATGTTTTGTGTGTGCCAGGGCTGGTAGACGAGCAGGTTCTTTGAAAGGGAACGAGCTTGTCAGCTCCCACCAAGCGGCTGCATTGCTTCAAAGGAGCCTGGGAGAGTTTCTGGTGTTGACAGGCACAGACATGCTGTTCTCTCTCTTTCCCTCCCCTCCGTTCCTTGTGTCTCTTCCTATTTCTCTTTCTCTTCAGCTCTTTCTTCTCCCATTCATCTCTCTTCCCATCTGTCACTCAGTCTTCTTCCTCCCCCCCCAACCCCAACTCTCCCTCTGTTACTTCCTCCTTCCCCCATCAGCATCCTCTTCCTCTGCAACAGAGGCAGTTCTCTGAAGTCCTCTCCTCTTGGTGGTCCTGTGCTTTCTGTTCATGCAAAGCTGAGACTTTTCATGATTCACCCACTTGTTATAGTCGAGAGGAGCGTGGCCATTAGTCTCCTGCGTGCTGAAAGCCAGAAGCTGCCGCTTGGATGGCCTTTGACAGGCGGGTTTGAAGCCAGTGGCTTTGCAGCATCCCGTTGAGCAAGCGCTGCAGTGGGAAGGGTCTTCAACCCTTCTCACTCACAAAGGACTGCCGTAGGTGCAACAAGCTGGTTCAGACCCTACAGTTTATACTTAGCACAGTGAACCTCAGCAGATGTGCTTGGCCTTTGCTGGGCTTTAACGGTAGGTCAAGGAAATGGTTAACAGAAAAAAACTATCAGCAAGGACCAAGCTGGTTTTTCTTCCCCAGGTGAAAAGCTGGAGATGCCAAGACCCCAGACAGCACTCTCTGCTTGCCTCTGTGGTTTGACAAAAGCAGCTTTTGAGATGTTGCAGCAAACTGATGTGCCTATGAGCAAGACCCCCGCTAATTAGTTGCTGTTCAGTCCCATGTCATGTGTCTGTTTGATCTTCTGCTGGTATGAGAGCTGATGGCGTCCTGCTTCCAGTGACCCGGCTTCTTCTTCTTTTTCCAGGTGCAGCTGCAGGCTCAGCCTTTGGCAGTAAGTAAAAACATAACTGAAATGCTGGCATTTAACACTTCGGTGCATGGTCCTTGAGGATGTCACTAGGAAAAAAAAAAAATGGTTATTTTCTGTCCATTATCATTTTCCAGGCAATAAGTCATCCCTAATTGTGCCTCATTTTCTGTCCTGTCAGAGAGTCTTATATTTTCTTTCTTTGACTTCAGTAGCCTCATTTTGCTTCTTCCTCTGGCATGGTTTCCCCCCATGAGGTTCGTTAGTATGGCAGCCGGAAAGGAAATAAAAAAAGACTCTTCAAAACCACCAGTGCTCGCTGTGAACTCCCCCCTCCCCTCCCCAGTATTGCAGAATTCTGCTCTGAGAAGGAGCTGGGTTTGAATTATTTGGCATAGCATCCACTCCGGGTCACCTTGGACTATTGATAAAAAACCATGTGTAGAGTTTGTGTACATCTGTATGTACCCGTGTATGTATGCAAACAGATGTCTATGAAGTGTCCGCAGCAAAGACGGTAGAACTCAGCGGGGATTTCTATTGAAAGATTGATGGTACAATGGGAATCCTCATTTAACAAAGCTGGAGGTAGCTTGAAATCATAGAGCCTTGAGTTTTGGTTAGGCAGAAGCCTGGATTTGAATTTTGTGGCTTGGAATTACCCTCCCGAAGAAACGAATCAGAGAGCTGAATGAATAATGAATTCTTTGGTTTGCAGGCAAGTGCAAAAAATCGGAGGAGAAACAGGTTCAGAGAAATGCAAATGCAATTAAGAAAAATGCACCTAATTGAAACGTGGAGGATGGTTTTTTCTGGGTAAATGAACCATACTTAGATTTTAAGCAGTCAAATTTAAATGGTTAAAAATACAAACTCTCCCTCAAGTAATTTAGGACTAAAAAAAAATTAAATGTTTTAACAGTTCAAAATATTCTTTGCTTTTCTGGTCAAAACCATTTTGATAACTCTCTTTCCCTCCCCCCC